AGAGAGAGAGAGAGAAATATATTTAACTGAACTTTAACTTATTAACAAAACATTGTGCAGAAAAAATACCAATGATTCATCGTTGCATAGATATTAACACATTAAACTGGCTTGAAATCCATTAAGATTTCTTAAGGTACAATAAAAGTCGAGACAAAGGATCGTTACGTTGAATCTTCTTAAAGAACGGGAATAAAATTAAAAGTGATACAGTCTCGAAGTATAACGATACCTATAAACTCACTTGGATGCAAAATAGGTATTGCATCGTATAATTATATCATATCATTATCTGTAATTGTAGAAGCGCTTTCGTAAGATCGAGTAAATTCATAAGAAATGGAAAATGCGATGCTCGTAACGTTAGTGCTACGTGACGCGCTCAGCGAAATAGAAAAGAAAGAAAAGAATATCGTGGTGTTTCTAACGGTATATTGACCTCCGCGACGCCGATTACCGTAAACACATATTCCATATTCTCGTACGTGACTACTTACGCTTGTCGAATTTTTAAATTTTGACGCTTCTTTTGCTCTTTCACACGTCATATTTCAATCATCTAATAACTAATCTATATCGTATTATACGATAATTTCGGCAACAATTGCTTTCACGACGATTCGATTGGATTGAAATAAAAAAAAAAAAAAAATAGGACAAAAAAAGATAATACGTAGTTTGAAAATATATATAAGATATATATACATATATATAGAATAATTCATAAAGTTGACGAGGAAAAAACGAATTATCAATTACGAAAATGCGAAAAATAAAATGATAAATTAGAAAGAAGCTACTTTGTTCGCGTGCTAAGGTAACGTTATCGTTTGTCCGCGGAGCTTGACTTGAAAGCCCGACAGGTTGAACAGACTCAACCGCGACGAAGATACGTGTTCCCCGTAGCGAAACAGGCTCTCCTCCGTTGACTCGAGCAAGACTTGCTGGGTCGTTTCTCCTTCGGCCAACGACCGTCTCTCCTCTCTACCTTTAGTTTCAATTCCCGCTCCCTTTACGCGTGCTTTTATGTAAATACGATAGTATTTAACTAAATTCGTATATCGTCTAATTCGTATATCGTTCGTGTATCTCTGAATGGCGAACACTGGCGAAAGGGAGCATCTCGTTTAAAGAAACTGTCCTTGAAAATATACTGTTTGAGTTCTGAATGCACAATGCAGATATTATAAACTGATGTCCACGCAATAGGAGCAAAAAATATGTTATGATTAATATGTACATACATATTGGAAATAATAATGATATATATTAATACATATATATATATATGTATTACAAATGTATTGATACGTACGTTTTTATTCGCATGCAATAAGAAACAAATTTTACAATAACGAATTATTATGTTATTGTAATATAGAGTTTTACAGAAATAGATTTCTTTTCGTTAAAGATATATATATATTGATATATATTTGTGAAATTTTATTCAAATAATCTGAAAATCTAATATATCTTATATGTCATGGTATATGTAATGAATTAATTAAATATATTTTATTAAAAAATATATTTAATAATAATTCATAGATCGAATTGTTAATGAGTTATTTGATATTAATAAAAAAATACATATTATACAATTGAGAAAAAAATATGAAGGAAGTAATTAATTCATCGTAGAAGTAACAAAGTTTGCACATATGTATTATAATAATTATATGTATTTTTCTAAAAAAATAGCAAAAAAAATTAATGTTCATTTTGAATCTAATGTAAACGTTTAGAAGAGCAAAATTGATAAATCAAAATTCGAAATTAAAACGAGAGTGACGTTTTAATGGAAGAAAGAAATTGTGGAACAAATTGAAGTTTTAAAAAAAACGAGACGAGATTTCACTCACGTTCCTGTCACGATATTCATAGGTATGCGAATACAAAAGTATAAGTAAAACCGACATCATTGATAAAGCACATGATATATGTAGAAAGAGACGTGCGCGGATTAAGCGCGAATATATATAAAGGGTTATGTGTTGTGCAGAGTTCAATATAGATGAATTGTATTTACAATAATATTTTCTACTTGTATCGGCAATTTTCCGTACCGTCTACAAAGACAATCTTTTCCACTGTCTTATACTTGATGAGGAGCCGTTGAGATGAATGCAATGTTCACTGGCAATGAAACTTTTTCTTCTCCTTTCGCTACAATTTTCTCGTGAAATCCGGCACGATTACTCACATCTTAAAACGCGATTCCGTCTTGAAACTGCATTCGTAGGCCCGGTATTTGATGCTTGGATGTTAGAATCGCATCAGCTCTTTAACTGTTACTCTCGATCTTTGATATTTCACTGTATTACACTCATTCACCACCGCGCTTCCCCCGACCCTTAAATAAGATAGATAATATACTCGGCCGAGTTACAGACCTACCGAGCTACCAGCTATCGTCCCGAGTCCCGGCCAGTTCTCGATGTCTTTTTTCCGCGCTGAGAACTCTTCACTTTTCAGTTGAGTTTATCTATCGATTCGTATAGAATAGTAAATTTCTTTTTATTTGGATCACTAAAATCACTTGCCTTGATAAAAATTGCGCGATAATTTCTTACGAACATGTATGAACCGTAAAAATCGTGAAAATGATGAGATATTGACAAATACGTTGCGGCGTCGCGACACTGTCGACTAAATTTCACTTGACCACCAGTTGGCGCCACGTTGCGATCCCTCGTCTTTTGATTTGTAAAAATATTCTCGCCGACAATGAAATATTTTGTACTTAGTATCTATGCTCTTTTACATTATATATTGCATAGATTTTTACACTAAGATATTATATGTTATCTTTTAAAATTTCCATTTTAATTGACTTTTAATCTTTAAATAATATAAATAAGTATCATTTAAGCTCACTTTAATTTAAAACTTTATAATAATTTGTTTCGATATTTTTTAATAATGTAAGTTATTAAAATTATTAATTAAATTTATTGAATTAAATTTTATTTTATAATTATATTAAGTTTTATATAATTATTGCAATATTTATTTATTTTTACTATAAATTGAAATAATTAAAAACTATAACAGTAATATTATATAAAATTTAAAAAAAAATTTTATTATGTTTTCGATTGTATTGTTTCATAATTTATATGATACGTAATATTTTACAAATTGAAAATATGGCGGGTCTATTTGAATTAAACCATAAATAATTAAGTACTACAAGGTAAGGCTATCTTCTTATAATTCACATTAAAATGTTAAATAAATCAGGATAACCATGTTTATATATTTAGAAAATTTATTTTAATTTATTTATTCAATTATATTTTTTAATTAAATATTCATAAAATTTATATAAATTTTTCATCAATATTTATTATGATGTGTATTGTAACCTAAAATAATTCATTTTAAATATCAAATACATTTTCTATATTATTTATAATTTATAGTGTACTTTATTATACAATGGATAATATTTTTGGAAAAGAAGATTCTGGGAATGAAAGTGAACATATAGATATTGAAGGAAAGGAAGAAAAAGGTAGTCCTTCACAAAATTCTGGAACTAAAGATGTAGAATCAATAGATGTTAATGATAATGATAACGTACAAGTTAAGGTATATAAATAGGATAATTATATCATAAGTGTAAAATTGAAATAAAAATAATAAATTAATTTTTAAACAAAAATTAAATTCATATAGTTTTATTTATCGTGATATATTTATTTTTTTAACAGATAGAATATGATGCAATGAGTTCGCAATCTCAATCTGATGGAGAAGAAGTAGGTTCTAATTTATTATGTACAGTAGTAGAAGATCAATTGGAAATTGTCAAACATGAAAATGATAATAGAGAAGAAGAACAAACAACGGAAGATATATTTGAAAATGATATAGTACTACCTCATGCAAATCCAACAAATGTTAAAGAAAGAAGAGAAAGTAAAGAGAAAAGTAAAAAAGAATTGGAAGAAGAAGAAAGGGAGAAAATGCAGTATGTATTCAACATTGTTATTATTGTTATAACTATATATGTACTATTTAAATATAAATACAATAATATTTGTTTGTTAACAGAGTATTAGTATCAAATTTTACAGAAGATCAATTAGATAGATATGAAATGTATAGAAGAGCTGCTTTTCCAAAAGCAGCAATAAAAAGAGTAATTATTTATTTTTTCATATTAATATATTTCATATTTTTGAATATCTAAATATCTATTATAAATTGTATTTTGTATTCCAGATTATGCAAACTATAACAGGTTGTTCAGTATCACAAAATGTGGTTATTGCTATGTCCGGTATTGCAAAAGTATTTGTTGGAGAAATAGTAGAAGAAGGTAATATTTATATTTCTAATGATGAAAAATAATTTCTAATGAGAAAAAATAATTTTTTTATTTAAATATAATTTTTAAACTAGCTCTTGATGTCATGGAAGCTCATCAAGAATCAGGACCATTACAACCAAAACATTTAAGAGAAGCAGTTAGAAGATTAAGACTTCAAGGACAAATTCCAAATGGTCGTGCCTATAAAGCATTTTTCCGATTATGAATCATCTCATTAGTATAGTCATTTAAAACTGTGATTTAATACAAATGCCTCCAATAAGTTGCAGAAATTAAATAAATATTTTTGTATAAAAAATGATTACTGCAATATGTTAATATTCACATAAAAAGTTGTTACATTGTAAAAATATCTTAGAAGTTTTAAAAATAAGGATATACATTTTAATAAATAAATATATACATGTCTATTACTTAAATATTAATTATATATTAGTTATAATCTATTTTTATTTTCTGTTTTTCTTTTTCCTTTTTTCTGTGATTTGATTTTTTATTACTAAATATAATGAAAGAAATGAATATGAAAGAAATATTTGATCATTCTTTAAAATATAATTATTTCAAAATTAAATTAAATCATTTGAATCTTCTTGAGAAGTTAGATTATATTAATAGATGTTTATTATTATAAAAAAATTTATTTGATTAAAATTAAAAAGAAAAGAAAATATTAAAGATCGCTTTTTTACAGTCTTTTTTACTGTAATAAAAAGTTAATGTATTTTGTATATCATGTAAATGTTAGTTATATATATATATATATATATATATATATT